GCAGCCGCCCAGTGCTTCTGCTCTCTCCATCACCACGAGAGAATAAACTCGGTCCTCTCTGCCTCCCTCCAACTCCAACCTTTGCGACGGCCATTTACCGGCTCTACAGGGTGGGGATTTTCTTTTGCAGGGAGGGACCAAGAGGGTTTTAAAATGCCTGGGGAGGCTTATGGTTAGCTTCTGCATCGCATTCGAGCGTGCCTCGGTGCGCCGGAGGACTTGGGCTGCTCTGCTGCTAGCAGCAGGCTGCAGCTTCAGCTTCCATTTAGCGACGGCCCCGGATCTCTCCGAACGTTGCCTAGCAGTGAATGAGACACCGAGCTATAAAAGACAGCATTTTCAGCCTGCTGCTCGAACTGAAATTGCAGCTGCCTCAGCCGCACTTAGGCTGCCGGCTGCCTTTCTTCACTACAGTTGTCTCAGGCCTGACGCTGGGATCTCGTGCCTGCTTATTGCATTACAGATAATTATGACGCCAGCCTCTCATTTGTGAGGGACCCTCGCTCTTTTATTGTCTTGCAATGTGGGGAAGTATTTTTGCTTTCGCCTGGTGTTTTCACCCTTGCATTGGAGGGTTTTCTAGAAAGAGATGGGTTTGCGGCAGGGTTCGGGAGGGTGCTCGCGGGATGCCTGCTGCGCTGGAAGGCGAGGGAGGAGCATCAAGAAAGGCTCAGCCATAAGATCAGGAAAGAGACACCGTGGCACCGTTTGCAAAGCAAAAGAGGTGGAAGATCAGGGCTAGCCCAGGGCAGAGCAGGACGGCGAGGCCTCCTCAGGAAGGCGGCGGAGGGAAGCAGCCTGCGCGTCATCGGCGGCAGGCGCCCGGGGGGGAACGGCCACCTCACAGCCTGTGCTTCTGCCCAGCAATAAAAAGCCGCTTTGCACAAACGCAGCGCAATTTGCTTCTCCTCCTCACAGGCTTATTTTCCCCTGCTATCATAAGCACTGGGGGAATTGCTCAGTGGGGGATCACACCCTGGGATCACACGCTGCCAGCACCACGTCCAGCTCTTCCTGGCTGAGACATGTTCTTCAAAGGACGGCTAGACCCAGGACAGAGCAGCAGCAGGTTATTCTGGGGGACAGAGGACAACCAAGGAGAGGTTGCTGCTCTTCAGGTTTCCCTGCTCCTCTTGGGACATGGCCATGTCCCAGCCTGTGACCGCTCCGCAAGTTTGCAAATGGCTTCGGTCACCAGGGGAAATTCAAGCTCAGAGCTTCCGCGTGAGGTTTCTTTCAAATAGGCATAACATAAATCTATTTTGACCTGATTTGCAGCTCTGTTTCAGTCCAGCCCTCATTTAACTGAGCTTGTAAAACCTGCCTAAGTTCTCCCAGGTTTCTGCTGCCCCAGGTTTTGCAGCTAGTCCTAAACAGAGCGACGCCTCCGGAACCGAAAGCGCTTTCTGAACAAGCTGTAACCCAAAATGCACATATTTATGTCTATAGAAATTGCTTCATTGCATCCATTGCCATTCGAGAGGGGACCGCGTCACACAATAGAGTTACTGTGTGCTATCAAACAACCAGCCACTAATTAGGTCAGGAATAGAAGGAGCGAATGGGGAGATGGTTCGACTGTTGTTCATGAGACCCTTATGACCAGAAAGATGCTGCATCCGGCTTCCTCATCCTCTGTAAGGATGCAGTTTGCATGTTTGTGACTGTGCAGGCAATTTTTAAAAGAATATGCCACCACTCAATTGCTTTGGATTAAGTTAGGCTCCACTAAATCAATTGGCCTGCCTGACCTATATTTTCCGCCTACTGACATGCAGCCTGCTTTGCACTTTTGGCAGTTGTTTCAGTAAAAAAATTCAATGCGCTCATCCACAGAGCCCAAGGACAGGGTGACTGCTGAAAACAGGAAGCAAGTTTAGTGCCTGCGACCTGCCCTGACATGGGATTGCAACTGCCATAGCAGCGTCGCGCGCTCCCCTTTCCTGCGCGAAGGGAGGGAGGGAGGCAGCATTCGTATTTCTTTTTCTCCCCTCGTGACCTCTTTCCTCTCTGCTCTCTAGCATCTGGAACAAGAGAAGCACGAGCTGAGGCGGCGATTTGAGAACAGAGAAGGCGAGTGGGAAGGCCGGGTGTCAGAGCTGGAGAGCGACGTGAAGCAGCTGCAGGACGAGCTGGAGAAGCAGCAGGTCCACCTGCGCGAAGCGGACCGGGAGAAGACGCGGGCCGTCCAGGAACTATCCGAGCAGAACCAAAGACTCCTGGACCAGCTCAGCAGGGTGAGTCACGGCAGCGAGCCCCGGCGAGGCAGGAGCCGAGCCACGCTGGTCCCGGGAAAAGCTCGCGGTGCTGCGATGAACAACAGTTTTGGCAAATGAGTGGGAGAGCTTTCTTTAAAGAGAAAAAAAAAAAAAACACGGGTCTAAATCCACTCAAATTACACTAGCGTCCCTATGAAACATGCAGTCTTTAAAGGGAGTTTTACACCTTTAAAGAGTGCTGTATTTGATTGGTGAAATTGTTACGTTTTGTGGGTCGAGTGGTCGTTTGCTGCATAATTTTCTCAACTTTTGTGTCTAAATTTGATTTAGAAAATCTATTTCTAATGTACGAACATGCCAAACAAATGTAGCATGCAAGGAAGAGGCTAACTTGTGGCAGGCTCTTTGCTGCCTTCCTCCCCTTTTTTGACACTCATTGGGTATCATTTTTTAAATTGAACCCCTTCTGTCACCCCACGGCGGCGTGTCCCTGCAGATCATTTTGCCTGTGGTTAGATGTGCAAGAACCTACTGAAACTCCTTGGAAGACATGTTTCAGCAAAGAGCTTAACTCAACCTCTGCATGAGAGAGGATTTATAGTGAGGCTGCTACAACTCAGTCTCACTGACCAAGTACTTGGGGCTTTTCCCCAACAGTAAAAGGCATAACAGTTGGTGCCTCCTCCCCTAGAAGTTGACATGTCCTCCAGAATTAAGGATCTTGGGATTTTTCTTCCCACTGGACAATCAGTACAAACCATTATATTAATGTTGGAGAATGCAGTTACTCCGAAAGATGAAAGTATTTTCTCAACAGTTGTATGTCCCAAAGTAATATAACACACACAGACTCATACTGAAGAGGCACATCTAATGGGAGATGAAAGGAGCATTTCAGACCAGATTCGGTCAGGGTTGAGTCTCAGGGGCTGGCACAGATGCTGCCTAAGGAAGGGTTGAGGCCTTGATCACAACATGAGAACCAGAAAACTCTCCAAAATGGGACAAACGTACAGGTCTGTTCACTTGTCTTCCATCGATCTGGGTACGCAGCTTTTCCATGCTGCTGGGGGTGAGAAAAGCAGGTTTGGGGTATAATGCTCTGTACACGCACTTGAGGAAATCATTCCTCATTCTGCTATATATGTTTTTGTGAAGTTCTGAACAAGTCACTCAGTCTGTGCATTTGGTTTTTAACTGGCATTAACAAAAAAAAAAACTTCCCTAATTCAGAAGCACCGGTAAGTTGACTGGTGTTTTTTAAAGCAATGTTATCTCCCAAATGTCGTCAATGTGCCAGAGAGGATCTTTTGCCTCTTCGCTGGACAGAGTATCTCATATACAACACAGACATGAGGCTCTGCCCAAGCTCTCGCGGAGCTCCTGTGTTATGTCAGGTTTGTTATCTGGGGCTAAGGACTTCACTCCCATCAGATTTTGTGACCCTTAGAAGGATTTTCTGTGTGCATGCACCTGATTTCCATAGTTGGCTGGGAAGTGTAAGATTTGTCATAGTACCAGTATGATCCCAGACTGAAAGACTAGTCTAGAAAATGGAGGAAAACCAGAAGGCTAGCTCTGAGGATGGTTCAATGTGGCTTAAAGCCCACGCAACGCTTGTTCTGCAGCAGCCGCTCCCAGCCCAGCCGCTCAGAGGGCCACGCGGCTAAGCCTTTAGCAAAGGAGCCATGAAGTTGAGTCTACCAGCACGCTACACCCACGTGCAGATTTTGGTCCCTTAACTCCGTGCTGTTGCCAGAAATAGTCTCTGTCTGAGGCTTCAGAATTGCCCCATCCCGGAAAAAAGTTGCGTCTTGGTGCTGCCTTTCTGCTCCACCCCAACCCCGTGCCCAGCTTTGAGAAGGGGACAGTCATCTCCTAGTGCACAGATGAGGCAGACGGGCAGAGACAGCAGCTTACACTCACCGAGGTCCCCCCGTGCAATTTGGCACTTGTTCAGCTCGTCACCTACCCAAGACCTCCCGGTAACTCAAACATAGAAATGGACACTGGGGAGGGGAAAGGGCTTCCCGAAGACGTGACAATCTGGGCAAGTTGGAAGTGAATTAGGAATGGCCTGTTGTGGCTCACTCAGGGCTTTGCTTGAGGCTTTTTAAAAGTCTGAGCCTGATTAGCACTTGATTAGCGGCTCTCACGGAGTGTTTGATATTCCACACTTGTTGCTACTCAGTAGTACAACTGCAGTCTTATTTGTCCGGTATCTCATCCCAAAGAGGTTACATAGCTACTGCTTGAGGCAGTGGTGGTGCTCAAACCCTGGTCACCCTCATAGCTCTGACTCCCTTCACTGCTTAGACTGTTAATAAATAACCAGGACAAATACAGCTACACAGACATGCTTGCCTAGAGCCATGTCACCTTAGGCTGGAGTCTTACTGGGGATCACACACTGAGCACTGGGAGACAAAACCCTACACGGGGCGAACTGGGCCACGCTGCTTGTATCCCCCCTCCATTTCAGGCTGTGCATTTTGCGCGCCTTCCCAGCTGGCATTTTGTGTCCCAGGGGGCTGTTTAGGAGGAGGGAGCTGTGAGAAGTCTGTGATAAGGCGATGAAAAAAACCTCTTTCAAAGCCTCAACTCTGCCCCACGCATCACTGCACACCCTGGAGAGTCTCCGCTTACGGGCGGACAGGCATTACTCTGCTGCGAGTCATTCTACATGAGATAGAAACTAGTTTCTTAAATTTTGATTTCTAAGGTTTTTTTTTTTAAAGCAATTAGTATCTCCTGGCCCACTTTTACAATGCTTCAGCGTCTCTCTCCTGGCAGAGGTATTCCCTCGCCGCCAGGTGCTATGTCAAACGCTGGTCTCAGCCTCACCGGCTAACACCCCCCGCTCCTACCTGCGCCTTCCAGGGTCCCCAGGCTTCAGCTTCAGCCACTTTACCTCAAAGCAACGCAGCCTTGGAAGGGAGCACGTGCTGCCTCCTCCCTCCTTGTTCCTGCTGCCTTGATACTCTTTCTGCCTAATTAAGCCTGCTAGGCCTGAGGACTTTTTTTTTAAACCCTGCTTTCCCTAGACATGCAGGATCTACCCCACCAGGGTTTTTTTTCCAGTCTAAGCATGTCCCAACCACTAAGCGAGCACGCGCTTCCACGCACCCACCCAAGCGTAGCAGAGGGGCACAGGAAGTACCATCTTGCAATTGAAGCATGGGACTGGAAATCCACAGCTGATTCTGGCAGAGGCTGATAAGGCTGAGGGATGAGGATTTTAAGTTTACTCCAATCTCAAAAAACAGGGATAAGTGTCTTGCCTCAGAGTTGCCAAGAGGCTAAAATAAGGTCTGCAAAATGGTTTGAGGTCTTCAGATGAGATGATGATATAGAACTTTACATATCTAATAATAGAAGTAGGCTATAAGGAACTTTGCCTCCTCTTGAAATACAGCCCTTGGTGCGGGTCTGCATTTAGCAGGATGGAGATACTGGCTAGAGTTAAACACAGCATAAAACCATGGAGGAAGCAGGTGGGCTGGACTGCAAGCTTGGTGAGAGACATGATACAGATGACAGATCAAGTTTAAGGCCTCCACAGTAACCTTTTTTAATTTTCTGTTTAGTGATTTAATCCCTTCTGTATGTTGGGCTCATTTCCCTCCCACCCCAGCACAGTAGCTTTCAGGAGCATGCCCGCGCCGACCTGAACTCCCATTGTACCTGGGAGAGCAGCAGAGCACATCGCGAGCAGTACGCTGGGTGCATACCGCTCTTATCACAGTGCTCAGAGATGAGGTATGGGAGAGAAAGCACGGTTTTGCCATAAAAGCAGTGGCTTGGAAATTATTACATCTTCATTCTGCTTCCAGCTCCATCACAATCTTTCTCCCATCTGTTTCGGTTCCCCATTTGGAAAACAAGGAACAAAAATCCTATGCTTTCCATCCTTTTAAGTTAAGGAATGGGGGGGGCGGAGAAGGAAAAGGTCTCCTACATGTGCCCACAGCACCCAACAGTGAGTCCTGTCCCCCTTGGGGCTTCCAGGAGCTCCTAACACAAGTAACAGCAAGCAGCCCTTTCCCTATGAGGCAACACATTACTACTTTGTCAGGAAGTGAATGAAAAAAGACTTTCACACTATTTCTGCGCGGCTTTAGCAGATGGCTTTCCCACACACTTCCTGCCGCCGCGCTCCAGGCTCCGCAGCCGATGGCTGCACGCGCCTTGGGTGAGGATGTATCCTTCCCCGTTTAGGCTTCTTTCATGGTACAGAGAGCACCAAGAAGTAATTTAACACTGTCAAGCTCAGGGAGTTTTTGCAATGGGAAGCTGGTTTTGGCAGCAGAAAGCAGCATGTCATCTTGCACCACCGAAATAGCTCTTTGCGCTTGGAGAGGAGACGGCAGCGGCCGTGGCAGCCCCCTCGGCAGGTGCTTCAGCCACCAAGTCCTTATCCTCGCTGGACACCTCGTGCCAACAGACCGCTGCCGAGAACGAGGCGTTTCGGTTGATCCCTCCGGCACAGGGAGAGCAGCCCGTACGCGCAACCGCAAGTCCCCAAAGCAGGTTTTCTTTGCTAGCCACAAACCATCCTTTCAGCAATATCTCAGCTGAACGGCTTCCCCTTCCTCATCTCAGCGCTTCAGAGGACCGTCAGAAACTGGCTGACTGATTTGAAAGAAATTTTTCTTACCCAAGAATGAGCTGACCATATTATCTTCTCCCTTCAAAACTGCTTCTTGTAAATACTTTGGTGTTCAACGACATGCTTAGAGAGAAGAGGGCTCTGTTGTCGGTTCCTGGTTTGAAGAGCTTTTTCTGAATGCTTTCTTGTTGGCTCTATCAGCATAGGAACAATGTTGTTTTTGATGATTGATCTGGATTTTGCACAGAGTTATTAGAACAAGCATGCTGGGCAAGATTCGCTCCTTTTGCCACTCCAGAGGTCTGTAGCCATTACACTGTGAGCAAGCTTAATTGCCTTTAATTCATTATTATATCTATACAGATGCTTAATACAAGCCTCCTTATGCTTCTTGTTTATTAAGTTGTCT